TTCAAGGAAGGACAGTAAAATGACAATAACTGTCCTATCTGACACATAGGAAAGTAAGAAAAGATGTGTCCTACCTGACACATAGGAATGGAAGAAAAGAAAAAACAAGCCAAGCCTAATTACTCCAGGAGCTAGTTCCTAGATTACATGGTAACCTCGAGAAGAGCCTCAGAATGTTAGCTCTTCATCTTCTGATAGTGCCAGATCAAGCCCTGAATGGAAGTAGCAGAGCATCCCTCTTCCATTCACAGCCCTGTCAAAGGACAGGACTTTTGAAAATGTGTTCAGAGTTAAATAAATAAATACTTTCAGGATTAGGGCTGACATCGAATATGTCAGATATGTCTGATTTTTAGGTGATGTATTTCTCTTTCCTTCTTGAGCAGAGCTACTCATTACTGCAAGATCCTAATTGTTACACGTGCTCTCATTTCCCCAAGGAACCTCAGAAGAAAGATACATGCAGTCTGTATGTTGTGTAAAATTTAATAACAAGGCAACAACATATAACCCCGCCTACATAGCTTTGTGTGAAGATATTGTAGAGAGAAGATATTTAGCTTGATCCTCCATGCTCTGCCATTACAGTCTGCACACATACCCTACACACATGTAACAGCTGCATTACATTTTAATATTTCTATTTGTATTCTGGTAACGACAACAGTATGCTTGGCATTCTCTCACTGCAAACAAAGACAAGACATTTCTAACAGACACATACATGCGCACACACATAGTCTTTCATACAGTTTAGGAAAGGATTGAAACTGCAGCCTAATGTCATGTACGGCAAGCGACTAAGTAGCAGTGAACTGTAAGACAAAACATAATTCTGTCCTGCAATAGACAGTGTGGCTTGTCCTTATTAAATTTTGGATTCCACTAAAAACGTGGGGAAGACAATGAAATAAAGACAGAAAACTGCAAGCAGAAGAATGGAGCTTTTAATCCTAGTTTGAACTCACATCAGCACCTCAGCATTGGCTCTATTAGTGTTCAGAATGGCAGCCTTGTTTTACTCTCAGGCGCTTAAATTATCAGAGCTGCTGTAGGAAAAGAATTCTGACATTTGCACTGCAACAATGAAGCAGTGAGATAAATGTCCTTCATTACCCAGCCATTTGCCAACAAACTTTCTGAATTGGTGTTGAGGGAAATGGCAGTCCCGTGATGGCGTTCAGCAGGCTTTGTTGCCTGGCCTCCATGCCCTTACAACTTTGTGACTCTGGCCTTTAGCATTGCATGGCTGCACACAAATCTTGCCTGCCCATAGTCAGGCCATAAACTGGAACAAAACAAGAAAGACATTGCAAATTTTATTTGACATAATTAGATTTTGAATGGTAGATGATTCAAAGTATTTTTGTATTTTTTTCCTTACCACTGTGGTAATGTTGTTAGACTTCACTACCAGCTTACAGCTGGAGTGTCAGTGCAAAAAACAAAAAAAATAAAGAGTACTGCCAGACTGTTGAATGTTAGTTCTAGTGTCATTCTGGCTTTTGGATCATGTCTATCAAGTCAACACCTCTCTAAAAGTTGGTCTAAAGCTCTTGCAGTGAAGAAATATAGCTCATGTTTCAGTGACGTCAACTGAAGTCAGATCAGTGTACAGAAAAATTTGGAGCTTGTTTGCGGTCAGGTTGTGTGAAGATGTTTAGGTGTACCATCTAAGCAAGCAAAAATCCCAATGGCTTTCATTTTACAGTGAGTTAATGCTTTCAGACAAGGAAGGTTTCCTCTGATGGCTTCATTTGTTTGTAATGCTGCTGACCTCCATTCACTGTGGCATTCTTCTGGGAGACCATGGATGTGGGCAAGGAAGTAACCAAGGACTGCAGTTCATTACCACCATGCATCACACTGAGAAATCCTCAGCTCTCTCATCTTATAATCTTACTATTTGGAACAGCCAGCATCCATGAATAGCCATGACCACTACAGAGGTAACATGTGTTTCAGTCTGATACTTAGACACACAACACACACTGCATGTGTATTTGTGTATTTGTATATGATGCTGATCCCTGCAAGCTGGCTGCAGTCCAAGCATTGTGCTAGCCAACATCTATGACAGTGGTTTTACTGGCCAGTCACATTCCTCTGTCTCATATGGAGCTGCTCAGGAATGAGAACAAGAAAAAGGGCAAGAAAGAGGAGAAGCAAGAACAATGCTTAGAATAGCTTTCTTTAGTGTACTTTTGTTATGGGAGTGATAGAGGCACTGTCAGTGAGAAGCACTTAGTGCTGCAGAAACAAAGTCATGGCTGTGTAAAATGGAGACCCATGTACTTCAGCAAGAGAAACATATACACAGGAGACCTCCTTCAAGTACCCAGAGTACCTGGAAGTTCATGATGCTGAGTTGCTGCCTGCAAACACAAACCAACACAGAGCTGACAGCCCCACAAGCAGAGCTGCTGTGATGAATGTTGACACAACTCCTAAATACAGATATTGTCAGTGACTCACCTTTCACAGTCTTCACTGACTATTTGGACATCACAGTCTGTTTTTTTTTGTTTCTTTTTTAATTTTTTTTTTTTTTTTTTAATCTTCTGAGTCTTTTCTCTTTTACCATAGTTGACGAAGACTTTTGCATACACCAGGAACAGTGCAAAGCTGTTGCCCACTAAAAGCAGAACATGGCTTTAGGAAACAGTGATCCCTGGTGTTCAGTATCAACCTCAGAATCCAATTTTGATGCAATCATATTTGGCTACAGTATTGTCCACAGCAGCATAGGAAGCACAGCAGAGAGACAAAGCTATCAATTTTCCAGGCAGTCTGAGAGTACTAAGAGATGCCACCACCTACAGGAGAATTGCCAGGGACACAGTATCAGGCATGTCTCCTTCATGAAAGAGGCCCATCTATAGTACGTAGGCTTTGATTAATGTATTCGATCACCTGTACTAAGTAAGGGGATGTGGTAGAATTAGCCAAGACCCATGCACTCCTGGGATCACTTCTTTGCTGCAGCTGCATGCCTTATTGAGGGCGCTGTGGTATAAAAATGCACTTATTGACAAGAAGGTAGTAAGCATACCACTACTGTGGCCCACAGCTTAAATAAACATTGGCTGTTTTTGTAAGGAGTACCATCTCAAATGTTTTGTAAAAATGTGTTTGTTTGTTTTTTTAATAGAAGGAGAGATGGGTCTTTTGCTAGCAGCATTTTGTTCAGTGGTCAAAAGGAGAAAATCGGACTCCATTTAAACAGTCTCTCTCTCTTGCCTAAACTGCAACATGCTGTGCAAACAGTGGGAGATTGACCTCCAGAACCACAGACATCTCAGCCTGGAAACTTTAAGTTAGACTCACAGTCACTCACTGCCTCTTCGAGCCCTCTTGAGAAACCCAGAGGCTGAAGTAGTTCAGCATCAGCTCTATGTTCAGAGGAATCAAAGCAACTCAGCTTCTGTGGGTCACTGATTTCACTATGGAAGAAATCACCAGCACCAGTTAAGACACTTCAAGCTATATTCCTTGGAGGAGACACAATCATTCAAAGAACTGTAGAACTGTCGAATCACAGAACTGTGGGATGGAAGGGACCTTAAAGACCATCCAGTTCAAACCCCACTGCAGTAGTCTAAGATCTAGATCACAGAGTCAGGATTTGGAAGGTAAAACACCAAGGACATTTGCTCTGCAGTAAATACATGATCTGAGTTACACTTGCCTCAACTCAGAATGGTATGCTGTCCACACAGGCTGTCCACACTGTATGCATCTAGATGGGATATCAAAGACATTTCTCATAAATATTGTGCATTATACATACAACTATGAGTTTGTGTGTACTGATGTAGTACCAGTTCCCATCAAGGGTCATACATAATACATAAGAAGAAAAATATACACTTTGAAAAAAAAGAAAAAAAAAAAGAAAACCACCAAAACAGTGACAGAAAAAACACCTTCCTTCTTTTTCCCAACTATTACTGGAACTTATTTGTCATAGATTGTTACTGGCAGCTGTTCCTCAAACATGGGCTTTTCAGAGTTTGTTGCTGATAGAATTTCAGGCAGTCCCATACTGTACCTAGTATAGACAGTCAGACACCAAAGATAAAGAGGTAGAAAAAAAGCAACAAGAAAGCACACTTTATCAGTTTACACACTTTGTTTGTTTACACCTTCTCCTGTAACTACTTTCCAGTTCTGGGATTACAGCAGTTTTCCTTCTTCAGCAATTCTTTGGTTTTGCCTTGTTGCCCTGCTGCTTTTAGATTATCCCCTTAACCTAATCCTCTCTCCTTTTCACTGTATTCACACAGGTTACCAAAAATTTGTTAGCAGATGTTGTGCAGTGTTTAGCAGCAGTCTTCCTAGAAAGCTTTAATGTCCTTTTAATGTAGATTTTCTATAAACAGATAATAACATCATAATAACAACAGCAAAACTAAATACAAAACCCAGTAACTGTTAGTTATGGTTATACTAAGGTAATGTGCATTCACGCAGATTCTATCCTGGTTGTGGGCTGTGGGTTGCGGGTTGCATCAAAAGAAGCGTGACCAGCAGGTCAAGAGAGGTGATTCTGCCCCTCTATTCTTCTCTGTTGAGATTCCACCTGGAGTACTGCGTCCCATTCTGGGGCCCTCAACACAAAAAGGACATGGAGCTATTGGAGTGGTCCAGAGGAGGGCCACAAGACTAATAATAAGAGGGCTGGATCACTTCCACAATGAGGACAGGCTCAGAGAGTTGGGGCTCTTCAGCCTGGAAAAGACAAAGTTCTGATGGGACCTTATAGCAGCCTTCCAGAACCTGCAGAGGCCTACAGGAAAGCTCGGGAGAGACTTTTTATAAGGGCATGTAGCAATGGAACAAGGGGAAATGGCTTCAAAATGGAAAAATGTAGGTTTAGACTAGATACTGGGACGAAATTCTTTACTGTGAGAGTTGGTGAGACAATGGAACAGACTGCCCAGAGAGGCTGTGGATGCCCCCTCCCTGGAAGGATTCAAAGCCAGGCTGGATGGGGCTTTGAGCAACCTGGTCTAGTGGGAGGTGTCCCTGCCTACTGCAGGGGGGTTTGGAGTTTAAAGATCCCTTCCAACCCAAACCATTCTAGGATTGTATGATTCTATACCAATGCTTGAATTCTACCAAATAAATAGAAAACATATACAGAAGTCACCAGGTATAATCCTAGAACAAAACGATGGGTAGCTGAGCTGCTCTCAAGTACCTCACTGTAGATAGCTCAAAGGCTTGTTATGTACTGGCTGTGGGTGACTGACATTTGTACTAAGGATTTTATCTAGAAATTTATAGGTCAACCAACACGGGTATAATTATCTCCAGAGAGTTAAAACTGCATAGATTTTTACATGAATACTCTCTTTCCTAAGACTGCTCACATGGGAATTTATTCAAGCATAACTACTGCACTATAATGAGAGCAATATAGTTCTACTGGTATAAATTCCAATCTAGAAAGTCCTATCAAAACTGCTACAAGAAACAATACTTATTCACCTTGATTTGTTTTGCCACATTCCTCCACTTCCATTTTTGTATACAGGAAAAGGAAAATGCATGCATTATCTGGATAGTGCAGAAGAGACTTTTTTTTACGTTCTCTGGTATAGTATATCTTTCTGTGTCAATAGTAATCGCTATAAAACTTCATATCAGTCATATGGTAGCACAATGTGTCTCTGAAGCCAGAAAATCAAAATTCAATAGAGTTTGTTGTTGTTGTTTTTGAACCCCTCAAAAGGCTTGACAGAAATCAGTGAGCTACAACTAAGGGGAAAAATGGCAAATTTCCCACTCGCACTAATTAAATATAATCACAGATGACAAGTAACTGTTCCCCTGAGGGGCTTACCAAATCTGTTTGAAAGCATTTAATCTTATTTAAGATTAAACCAAAGTACAAGCAGTTCCAAAAGGCATCAGAGATAACACAGTCACTACTGGGATATTAAACTATAACATCAACTCTCTGACATGAATCAATTGATTTCTTATCTGTCTAGTTCTCATTGTGATGATAACTCCTGTTCATCCCAGTTCAGCACCATTCCTCTCTTCTGCCTGCATGCAATAATTTACTCCTTTCTCCACAGGCAGCAACAAACTGAGGAGGTGAAACAATGAACTTTTTCATGGAAAGAGAGAAGAAAATGAAGTGCCTTTCACTGAAAGTCTTTTGCTCTTAGTTTCTTTTCCTAAGACGATGGCTGCCTAGGCATTTTCAGAGAAAGCTGTAGCAGCGATTATTAAAGTTGTAATGGTCAAAGAAGATATCCTTTTCATAGAGAAGTTCTTATCTACACAATTTCAACATTGAAAGAGCTAGACTTAGATCAGTTGTAGGCTGGTACTCATTTATAAGTACCAGAGAATTTCTGCAGGTAAATGTAGAGATTTGACTCCATCTCTTCATGCGTGGTAGCAGGCCTCCACACTGCAAGTTTCTGCACAGGAAGGACAGTTGTCCAGGCCCCTGAGCTGCACTACTGATGCTGGCCATGCTCACACAGCTCCAGAATTCCACTGGCCTGGAACGGCGGGTGAAGCTAGTGTGATTCCCAAAGCCTGTTCTTCTGGCCACATAGTGACCTCCAGGCTTCGACTCCTGGTTCAGGCCCACTCCCCACTTGCACACACACATGAGAAAGCCAACACAGCCCCACTATATGTGCAACATGTGTTGTTAGGTAGATGGATGCACTGACCAGACACAGCACCACATCACCTTACATGGCATTAGGCTGGGCAGAGCTCTTCCTCTTACCTCAGAGCTGCCTGCTGGTCTGCACAGCTGGACCTATGCTAGTGATGTTGGTATCATAAATAACCCCCAGTCAAACTAGGTAAAACCATAAAGAAGAGACCTAGCCAAGTACTGAGCTTCCCCAATACTGCCAGGTGGTCTCTCCCTTTAGGAACCTACCTTATTAATTAGTAAAATCAATGGAGCTTGTGACTGGTAAAAGAATCTGCTCCCATGGAGCAATTTGTGACACTGGAGCTGTCTTTTTTTCTTTCAGTGGTGCATCAGGAGGTCAAATAATAATTTCCATAAGGATTCCTGGATTTTTTTTAATAGGATCCCAACAGAACTTTATGGTATTAATTAAAGCTGGTAGAACTGAAATCTGTATTCCATCCGCTCAACCCCAAAGATCTTTCTTTCATGAAATTTTGATTTAAAAAAAATGTTCTTATTGTTCCTCTGAGTCTTTAAATATGCCTGCCCTTCTTCAAGAAGACAGTCTTAAGCTGTCTCCAGGGCTTTGTTTAAATATTATTTTCTCCTCCAACATATTCTTTTCATTAGAAAAATACTTTGTCATTTACTGCATGGTCTCTTCCTCTGAGAGGTTCAGCAGCTCTTGAAAAGTGGGAGTGCTTAGCTTCTCATAGGGAAAGCATCCCTTAGGGAGCACTGACAGGGAACTGGGAAAAGACTGAATGCAATTTCCATTCAACTGAAAAGCAGATGAATAGCTGCCCAGAGAACAAAGGCTGTATGAGCTGACAGTGAACTGACACTAATCCAGTATTATGAGCCTGGAACTTGAACTCCACTTGGAGCATCTTCACATTTGTTTCAACCTCTCCGGCTGGAAGAGGATAGGAGAGAGCCTTATATTGTATACCATTCAGGAAGAGAGGTCTATGGCCCAGGCTGATTTACATATTTCTTGGTTTACTGCTTAGCATTTTAGGAAACTTAAGTCACCTGAGCTGCTACACCTATCAGTTACTCTCTTAGCTCAAATATGTGAGAAGAGTGTTATAACTCCTTATCGCTCTCTAGAACTGATATGAAAGGTGGTCAGCAGAGCTCATAACAGTATGATTTCTTCAGCTAAAACAGTGACTTCCATTAAGTTTTAAAAATTTAAGGAAATTACATCCCCACATTTCCTCCACACCACAAGCCAGATGCTAGATAAAAGTTAATAATACAGAGTGTGATGCTGAAAAGTTCACAGATGTCAGTGTTAAGGAATGCAAGATTTTGAGAAGAAACACATACAACAAGTAATTAAAGCCTTTAGTGTAATGCACAATCTCAAGGAGCCTGAACTAAGTCTGCCCCAGCAACCCTGACTTTTAAATGCCATGTTCACTACATTCAGGTTTCTTTCTCAGAGGTTTCTAGAGTTTGCTTGTGGCTGAATGGACAGCATCATTTCTTTAAAAGCCTGTTTTAAAAGACAATTTGAAAAACATGTTCCCAGAATAATCAAGCAAAATACTGTGATCACAGTGACCATGAGAAGGCACATCCATTAGCACTTGGTTTGGAATTTCAAAAAACAACACCACCTTCTTCCTCAAAACATGCGTCTGACTCTTAGCTCTTACACTGAAAATGTAATCTAGTTGCTGGTACTCTGGTACTTATTTAGCAGATCCCCACAATAATAACAATATCATGGAGGCTGGGAACTGAAAACATACAGCACAAAAATGAGAAAGTGATCATGAAACAAGAAATACTGCTGAAGCAGCATTGCTGAGCCAAGAGAAACCCTGCTGAAGATGATGCACTGATCATTTGCAGAAAAATGTGTTAAAAAAGGATGCTAATGTTCTCCAGTGAGTGATAAGCATTAGCAAATATACAGTTCCTGTCCATTTCCCCAACCAGTAAGAGTGAATTTATGTGTGGATTAATCATGTCCTGACCCCAGAATCAGAATAAACTGTAAGGTTTTATCACAGTTTTTCATTTCAATGATATAAATAGCAATGCTTGCTGAACATCCCAAGTACGTATATATACATATTAATATACTTTTAAAAATAAGGGTTGGCCTTTGGGGAGATATAGATGAAAAATGACAACATTAAAATCTGAAGTCTTAGACACTCCAAAATTTAATCTGGGTTAGTAATTTGCATTGCACATTGAACACACACTGACTCATAGTAATTACTGATCTACTTAGACATAATTTGCAAATAGGTTGCATATTAAAGATGAATTTTGCAGCTGATTTGTTCTCAGCACTTTAGAGACTTTGAGAAATGCATATTTTAATCATATAATGATTTCTAGTAAGATGGTCCACTGGATTATTTCTGCACCAGCTCCTGTGAGTTGCCAGATAACTCATATGCAGGGTGTGACCAAAAACCCAAACAGCCCTTTTGTCATCCTTGTTTCACCATGAAATACGCTGGCTTCTCCTGTTTTCCAACTACAGACTCTGATTCTTTGTTAACATGATGTAATTCAGAACATTTCTGAGCTCAAAATAGAAGAGACATTTTACATTCTGTAGTGAGAAGAAGAAATAGTTAGATACAGGAGAGGAGCTTGATGTCCAGACTGGAAAGCAGGGAGAGGGTAGCATGACAAAAGTTCCCAAAAAGCGTTACAGATGCGAGAGTACTAAGTTGTATCTTTTTTTTCCAAAATACCACAGCAGGTAAAAGGGAGACAAAACAAGCAACAAATTATACAAAGTCTACTGTCCACATTGTGAGAATTCATTTGAATTTTAGGGGAGGGACAGTGTCCAGACAGTGGCATCAGACCAGAAGTTGCCCAAAGGCAAAGAAACACAGCCAAGTGCCCTCTGCATATCCCTTCTCAGCACCTTTGAGCCTTACAAGCATCCAGCAGCCCTTTAGTCTCATTTAATGAAAGCCATCGTTTGTGACCACAGCCTCTCCAAAGTCACCAGCCCACTGACTTGGCACAAGAATTACAAGCATGACTAATTTCAGAGAAACAACAACAATCTTTGCACAAAGGGTGATGGGAGCCTGAAGCATGGAAAGCCTTCCACCACATTTCTGCCCAAATACAAACATGAGAAAAGCCAGTGGCATAGAGACATGCACAGCCCTTGTCTGCTTTTGTTCACACAGCACACACCATCACCACCTGCAAGTTGGAGAAGGACTTGCACATTAAGACTGCTCCACCAGGCATCAGGCATAAAATGCTAATTCCTGGACATTTAAGTGCACTGAAGCTGTAAGAGAAAGCTGGAAACCAGTGGTAGACTTGACTGTAGGCTGGCTCTGTCTTCATAAAGGGAATGGTAAAGTAAATCAGTAGTTGATTTTCCATAAAAGTTTTCAAGCCATAAGCTGTAACATTTTCATGCAATATGGCTGATATTTAATTTCACTGTATTTCTGCTAAAGGCTGCAAAGTCACCATCAAGTTCAAGTATAGATCCTTCATACTAACATAAATGAAAGCCGACACATTAAGTATCTGTGTAAAGTGGCAGACTTGAGATATCTGTACTGTGGGAGGGGGACCAGACTGGATTCATCAAGACCTCCTACTCCCAACTACTGCACTACAGAGAGAAAATGATAGAAGATGGTTAAAAAATGCTCAAGCTACCATACACAAGGGAAGCAAACTCCCTCGCAGGCCTTGGTCCACGTGAGGAGGCAGATGCCTGAGCCACATCTCTGCCTTCTCATGTTCCTATTTTCAGTAAGGATGTACAGGAGAGCCATCTTAGGAAACTTCCATATAGCATCAATACAAAGCCTCTGGTGCAATCCAGAACACAGAGGTTTCATTTGACCTGAGACATTTTCTTTACAGAGATATTGTTAGTATGATAATTGAAACTTTTCCCTACTTACTCTTATCCCTGTTTGTATATCTGATAACATACCAAGCACAACTGTATGCCTCTATTGGCGTCATCTTTATTACCTAACATCAGTTATACATCTGCTTTAGGACCATCATACAGATAATCTTGAATGAGATCACTCAGCATTTGTGGGACAGCAGAGGGCTCAGGCTCAGCCAGTACAGGTTCATGAAAGGCAAGTCCTGCTTAACCTGCTTCAGCTCTTTCAATGATAAGTGATCTGTCTGATGGATAGGAAAAGGTGCTGATGTTGTCTATCTAGACTTCAGCAAAACCTTTGACACTGTCTTCCCCAGCACTCTTCAAGACCCATGACTTGGACGGGTACACTCTGTACTGGGTACAGGAAATGGTTGGAGGGCCAGGCACACTGAGTGGTGCTGAATGGAGTTATATCCAACTGGCATCCAATCGTGAGCAGTGTTCCACAGAGGTCTGTATTAAGGCCCATCCTGTTTAATATTGTTACTGATTACCTGGATAAGAGGATTGAGCCCATCCTCAGTAAGTTCACAGGCGACACCAAGTTGGGAAGAAGTGTTGATCTGCCTGAAGGTAGGAAGACCCTACAGAGAGATATAGACAGGCAGGATCAATGGGCTGAAGCCAATGGGATGAAGCACAACAAGACTAAGTGCCAGGTCCTGCACTTTTGCCACAACAATCCCAGGCAACACAATACACTTTGGACAGAGTGGCTGGAAGACTGTGCAGAGGAAAAGGTCTGGGAGTGATAGCTGTCAGCTGGCTGAACATGAGTCAGCAGTGTGTCCAGGTGACGATGGCCAATGGCATCCTGACTTGTATCAGAAATAGAGTTGCCAGCAGGAGCAGGGAGGTGATCATCCTTCTGTACTTTGCTCTGATGAGGTTGCACCTCTTGTACTTGTTAATTTCAGGGCCCCTCACTACAAGAAAGACATCAAGGCCCTAGAGCGTGCCTGAAGGGCAGTGAAGCTGGTGAGGGATCTGGAACACAGGATGGGGAACAGCTGAAGAAACCAGGATTGCTTAGTCTGGAGAACGCTCAGGGAAGACCTCTACAACTCCCCTGAGGTTGTGGCAAGGTAGGGGTCCGCCTCTTCTCCCACATAACTACGAGCTGGACTCAAATTGTGCCAGGAGAGACTCAGGTTTGATATGAGGAAAAATTTCTTCTCTGCAAGAGTAGTAAGGTGCTAGAATGGGCTGCCCATGGAACCAGTTGCCTCTGGGGGCATTCAGTAAATTTTTACATGCTGTACTAAGGGACATGGTTTAGTCAAGAAATATTGGTGGTAAGAGGATTGTTGGACTAGCTGATCTTGAAGGTCTTTTCCAACTTTAGTGATTCTATGATCTTTTTGAGACTAACAACCTGATGTATGTTTCTTTTGATTCTTTTAATGATTCTGCCAATTTCTTGCTCACACTCTTCTTGTTCCCCTATTGTTCTCCTTGGTTACAATTTCATCAATAATTGGCTTCAATACTGCTTTCATCATTACAGCTTTGATATTAATAAGTATGCTGGTCAGATAACTGAGCTATGCACTTAAGTCTCCAGTGAAGCACATCTTCAGACTAAATTCTGGATGTCAGCATATAGTCCCCATTTGTACCTGATAAGTTGCCCCAAGGAAGAAACAAGCCAAATACATTCTGTTAGCTGGCAAATGCAAATGTTTAATTAGTGGGTTTACTGGTAAGAGTCCCACTGCCTCCATGGCCTCAGCAGTACGCAGGGGCCTGGATCTTCTGTCTGATTTCTTGTGTCCCCATGCCAAATGGCAGCACTTCAACTTTTAATTTTGGTTTCGGTGAAAGACCGTGCTGTTCCACAAACATTAGGAAAGTACTTCTGATCTCATATCGTATCTCCATTCTCAGAGGGTATTCAAAGAAGATTAAGACTGCAAAGCGAACCTAAAGAAAGTGCAGAGTGTCAGTACTAATGTTAACATCTGCAAACTCATTACAGTGAAAACACCTCCGTCTAATAGAGCAAGATTCCCCTTGCATAAAGCCTACTATATCATACTGCCAAATCACTTTTATTCCAGAAAAGTATCTCAGGCACTAGTATAATAAAAACCTACCCTTTTTCTCCTTACAAGTGAAAGAAGCTAAGCTGATGAAAACACAGTTATACAGACTTGGAGAGCCTGTAGCACAGTCAGTCTCAGATAGCAGCACCAAGACGTATCTGTAGCATAAATTTGCCCCACAGGTATAAAATCCCAAATTTGGCAGGAGGCCACTGAAAAGCAGGGTCTTCGCACTAGCAGTTGTACAAATATTCCCCTATTGCTTGTATTACTTTCTGCAGACTACAGCAGTGAAAAATTTGAAAAAAATCCCAAGTATAAAGCTGCCAGTTGTAAAAAATTTAAAATTATATATATAATTTTAGATTATTAGTTGTACTTTTGCAGTAAGTTTCTTTTCAAGCTAACAAAATCAGATTTCATGGAAGTCATTTATCCTGATCTTTGTTTCATATTTTATGAGCTGTAGTAATTATTTTATTCAGGACGCAGCTCATAGGTGCGTCTTTAAGACTGCCTGTCTTTAAGTTCCAGTCACAAGAACAGAAAGAAATGTTTTAAATATTAAAAAACACTATTTGGTGTTACGTTCTAGCGTGCATTTCCAACGTTTAAGTGATAAATCAAATGAAGTGGAAAGATCTTAGTGATATAACCCACTTTCTTCCACAAACTGCTTCAATAAGAGAGAAGGAATAGGGCTGAGATGATATTCAGTTACTTTCTGAAAGCCACAAATAAGAAACGTATCTGATCATTTGATCTCTTCCTAGGGAAAAAAAAAGTTAATCTCATACGCACCTTATTAGAATACATGGAAAAGAGAGCTTTCTTCAGTGTGTAAAAAAATCTTGCACAACTTAACAATGAGATACTTACAGTAGAGTGAAGGCCTTGTGAAAGAGCACTGCAAATGTACTAAAAATGCTGTCATAGTGACTTCGTGGACACAGAACTGGATGAACAATTAAGGACCTCAGTTCCCACAGGGCTGAGAATCCCAGTCCTGAAAGTTCTGTGAAATTACTGGTAAATTCCTCCATGGACATCTAGCTTTAAAATCTTTATTTAGAAACTTTAAGTCTTTAAAAAAAAAAAAAAAACAACAAAGTCATCTTAAAACCAAGTGATAACAGGAAAGTTATCAACAGTAGAAACCTCACAGAAGGAAAAATTAAAAAAATAAAATCGTATGTGCTTGAAAGAAGTAAGTTGTGCCCAAGAACTTAAAGTCTAAGACAACAGAAATATAAGTAGCATATTCAGGATGCTTAGATTTTGTGCAGAAAGAGATAATTATAGCTTGAAGAATGTATACTTCCTTGAAGTTCTGGTAAGCAGTAGAATATTTTTATTAGATGGAAAAATCTGTATGACACAGCTTTATTAGTTTTATTAGTTTTATTTTTTGTTGAAAATTTTATTTAAAAAAAAAAAAAACACAGGGAATTTCAGACCCCAGATGACAGAGTATGCAAGATTACTGATAGGTGAACTAAGCTGAAGTGCTTGGAAGGTATCAACAGTGCTCAGTGCAACAGTGCTCAAAATGTCTATTAGTACACCCAGACTGAATACCATCCCTCAGCAAAAATTCTCCCTACCTCTGCTGCTTTTAAGCTCTATTTCCCTTTTTTTTTTTTTTTTTTTTTAATTATTCCAGATCAGAATGTGAGGGAGCATGCAGCATTATCCAAAATGGAAGGATAATCTGGCAAATAAATCTGGGAAGACAGCTCTGTCTGTAGTGTGCGTTTCCTTCTGCATCATCATTGCTATATATACAAACCCAGTTAAATAGTGTTCTTATTCTTTTAGAATATTTGTTTATATCTGTATCAAAGACTACCAAAGGGAAAGGTATATATAGAAACTGATGCTGTCAAAGACCTCAGAAGGGTCAGGAACACTTGACAAATTTCATGGTGCAAAGGTAACAGATAAATGAAGTCTGTAAGCTCATGGTACTTTGCAGTGTAATGACAGAAATGCCTTCTCTGCTTTGCCAATTGTGTATATTCACTGTGTTTCAATCTGCATCTGTGGCAGCAGCTGCAAGTCTTCCCCAAAAAATATCTTACCTCTGGAAATGAAACGTGAGTGACAAACTTACAATTTAATGAAAATTACTTGCATTTGTCTACACTTCCAGTACTGTCAAAGCAGAGTAAGTAAGCAAAGAGTTAAAAGACTTGCCAAAACAAGCAGACTGACACTTCTGAACAGCTCATGACAGAAAGATCATCAGGCATGGTTTTAAATTCACAACTTAAGTAAACATCCTCTAAGGCTCTTTAGCAAGAAGAATGCTACATGCATAGAAAATGCATGCAAAAAAATTTGTTTGCAGAAGTCTGAACTGGCTACTACAAGAAACCAGAAGCCATGAAGATAGATTAATTCACATTCTGGTTTCAATTATCTGCTGCATAGCTATTAGAAATACTTAAGTAAATATTTTTGAAGGCTTTTATGAATTTTGTCTAGATTGCCTGCTAGGTGTCATACCCATGATGCCTTGAAGGAAACATTAAACTTATGTTCAAGGTGTAGCTTAGAATACCTTTGCCAAATTATCCATTTATTTTTCTCAGTCAAAGTACACATCAACCAGGTAGCTTCTCTTGAAAGTTGTGTTTTAACCTCAGTGAGAGCTATAGCACAAATACCAGGAGAAAAAAAAAAAAAAAAAGTAGTGAAAGTGAATATAGGCATTACATTTAAATCTTATGTTACCAATTAATTAAATGCTATTAATGAATAACTATGTGGTTACAGGGTAGTGCCTTTTAAGTCACCTATAGAACTATACAAGGTACTACCATGCCATTTCACACAGCACACTGCATCTTACACATGCCACAAAAAGATTTTAAAGGTCAGAATAATAACCACAATCTTATGACAGTATTTATACTTTAAAATTAAAGAGTATGTGTACTTTCGTTAACACTGAGAAACTCTTCTTGTAGCACTTTCTGAAGGGAACAATCTTGACAATATGGGCCAAATCTTAATTTGATCTTAGCTCTCTCAGAAGAGCACACATAATATGGAAAATTAGGTTTGCAGAGAGAAGTTATATGTATACTGATCACTTTTCATCCAGTTTTTCAGGCAAATACTTATGGTTGTCATCTTTAGGCATCTGAGATCTGAGTCACAGCTCAAATAAAGGGATTTTAAATCCCCAATATTCAAATAGTCTACCCTCATTGCAAAAGGCTATAGAAATACCATAACAGAAGTTCAGCTCTAACTAAAGCATACTGTTTCTATTTAAATATATACGCTTCTAAAGCATCTCAATATTTGTTGTGTTTATTTAGTTTATTTTGAGAGCACACAAATACTGCTTTTAAATGATTCATTCTCCTTTGAAGTCAATTTTTGAAGTAGTGGACCTTTTCTTGCTTTATCACATTTAACAATAATTATTTACTTTGGTCTGTAGATTACATTCATTTTTGTTCACCCATATCTAGTTTTGAAGTCAAAATATCATAAATAATATATAATGCAAATAATGCTAGAAAAGATTATAATAATACAACTAACTCTTAGAACTGGATTCTATCAGTAGCTCATACCACAGAAGACATATTTCAGCAGAAGGTTAGCATAACTCAAATCCTTTGAAAATTTCAATAAGAAGTACATTTTCAAAGACCAGTAATTCTGAATAATGAGTTGTATGATGAATAGCATTCTCAAGTTATCAGGACTCTTTTCAAAGACTATATTTCTCCTTTTATATAAGAGTTATGCCTTACAGACTTTTAAATGCTCCATCTTAGTCATAAAATAAATTTGGTTTCTATACATACAACACCTTGGAAACACATTAACTACAACTTTGCTAGATTGCACAAGTCTTCATATGGCAGTATAAGCTTTTTCCTGTCCCATTCATTGATCCAGTAATAGCTTCAAGGCAAAAGAAGTCTGAGAGCTTTCTTCTGTAAAGGATCTAAGCAGCTTAAAAGGGTACATTTATTTTATGCCTCTACCAATCCATACTCTTCCTTTCTCTGTGGAAATGTACCGTAACTGAATTTGACCCAATACTATGCTACTAACAAAGTTCCCACAGAACATCACATGACATCAGAAAGTATGTTCTGAGCAAACTCAATTATCCCTAAATTCTTTCCAGCACCAGAGAAAACAAAAATAGCAAGTCCCTGAAAAGTCCCATGAGGAGAGATTTAAAGTTTTTTAAAGTTTCTGAGGGTCCTATGATTCTTTGATTCTAAGACAGTCATAGATCACTACCAGTTATATCTCTACCAAATGTCTCAGAGGTGAGCAAATTATAACCCATATCCAAACTCATAAAATCAGAATCATTTGAGTTGGAAGGGACCTTTAAAGGTCATCCAGTCCAACTCCCCTTCAATGAACAGGGACACCCACATCTAAACCAGTTTGACCAGAGCCTGGTCCAGCCTGGCCTTGAGCATTTGCAGGAATGAGACTTCTACCACAACTCTAGGCAACCTGTTCCAGTGCTTCACTATCCTTACTGTAAAAATAAAAATAAAAATAAAAATAAAACAAACAAACAAAAACAAAAAAACACATCTTCCTTATACCCAGATTAAATCTCCCCTCTTTAAATTTGAAACCATTTATAGAATCCTAGAATCCTACAACAGTTTGGGTTGGAAATTATATTTAAGATGATCTAGTACCAAACTCTTGCTATAGGCAGGCACAGCACATACTGGATAAGGCTGCTCAAAGCCCCATCCAGCCTGGCCTTGAACGCCTCCATGGTCCCTTTGTCCTATCACAACAGAACATGCTGAACAGTCTGTTCCCTTCTTTCTTATAGCCCCTCTTTAGAAACTAGCTTAAAAAAAAAAATCAATTTGTGAAATGATAGAAAGATGGCCTGCCCCAAATGAAGGCCTTGCCTTATAAAAGGATCTTATTATCTCATACAGAAATGAGTAATTTCTGTGCCCTGATGAAACGATACTTCATATTAGATGATATATTCTCATATTGGTCAAGAAGGGCTACTTTGCTACTTCAACTCAATGAAGTGTATTACAAGGCAAATTCTCCACAGAGCTGGGTAGACCAGCAAGTTCTGTACAACTGCACAGGCACAGCTGAAAGAAGGTACCATTATGAGAACAAGGACACAAATATGCTGTATTAAACCTGAAAATAAACCCGTTTTCATAACGCAGTTTCTTCGCTCAACTAAAGCCTCCTATCTCATTATCTGTCACTATCCTACAGGAAAATCAGACACGACTGAACAGTATGAACAGTTTGTCTTTCTGTCCTACTAAGAAAGAAGTAAACAAAAAAATAGCAGCTAAAATTTTGGCTATAATTTGCTAACACCTCAGCATGACATCTCTAAAAGTGTCAGCATTGCCATAATTCCCCTCTCAGTCCAGCTTACAGCAATAGTACATAGAAGCACCTTCAACTGTGATGTAATATGAATTAAAACCAGAGATTTACTACATTTCAAATGCTAATGTTTTTTAATCACTGTTTACCAGTCATCATGCAGCTATTCCAAATCTCTACAGAATTAACTAAGACCAGAATTATGTCCAAGACTATGAAAAATGGAAAAAGAAATACTTAATGGTTCTATACCTATCAAGCCAGCTGAGATGAAGGTCCATCATCTATGCTGATGAACATTTTAAAATGTAACATGCTCCTTTTTCATAGAAGTTATAGGCAGCCAAAACTGAAACACAAAATATGAAAGAGTGGGATACAAAACATGAAACAACTAGGTGTTTTGCTATTGGACAAGATCAGCAGAAAAGTCACAGACAACTAGTTAAACTAGTTTACTGAAGTTTAAAGCAATGAGATAATAATACAGCAAAAATAACACAGTTAGGCAATGCGCTAACCATTACTAACCATACATGAGGATAGTAACAGTGATTAAGAAAGATACATCACCAATTGCCCTAATACCTTACCATCATCCAGATCTGCAGTTGCTGGGGAGCCCTCGTTGCAGCAAGAATTTGGAGAGCCTTTCCCAGCAACTCACATATACGCTTTGGGACACATGACTGGAAACTGAAGTAGAAAAATTACGACATAACTTTTGGTTTTTTTGTAAGGCAATAGCTTCTGATGAACACTTCTGGAAAGTTATAGTTTTGCGTTTTCATTAAAAATATATCTACTCATGTTACATTCTACAAATTGCATACTTTCTATATTTAAAACATGTAGGCTTTAAACAGACTGAAATACAAACAGCATATCCCCAGCTCATACTGCATACTCATATTTCTGCACATCTTAACTGCAAAGGCCAGCAAAAGAAGAATCAGTAAAAGGTTCAGAAGACACAGACAAGTGTCCATTCTGATCTGCTTAAAGTTGAACAATCAACAATTAGTATCACATGAGCACTGTTCATAACACATGTGAGTCTTGCTTAAAAAGCTCCAGCGTTAAGATATTCTTTCAGATAACTAGATACATATGAGAACTGAGTTGCTTCTTGACACGTAAGAGTTTAGTCTATGAACACCATGAAATTCTTTTCTTGCAGTGGACAAGACTTGATGGGACGGACATAGTTCAAATCAGGGGTATCCAAACATTTTGGTCATGTACCCCTATTAGAGAAAGACACAATATCTAACACACATCCTATATATGTATACTTATGAAGACATTTCTGAAGTTCTAACATTTTTCTCCTGCACCCTAAAAGCAACACAATTTGGAGACCACTTATTTTTAGATTATATGAGTGACATAAACACTAGAGGTGCTCTGGATGACACAGACACTTAGGCTTCTTCAGTGCTGTGCTGTAGAAGCCATTTCAGCGTAGAATTCTTTAATACTTGTGCTTGGATTCAGTTTGCCAACGACAAGTATAGGCTATCAAGCTCTACAGATTAGATTTTACCTTATGATTTTGATTTTAAAGGAAATTAAGTTAGTAGCCACTAAGCAAGCCATTGAAACAAAGCTACCTAAAGCACCATCAAAAAGCAGTTCAAAAGGTTATTACAGTATCAAATGACTCATGTATAATCAATGAATATAAAGATGTTATAATTATGAAATAAACCAGAGTTTGGCTAAGCAGATTACAATAACAAAAAGAGAATAGACAGAATGCTTACCCATATCCTGGGCTCGCTGCAAAACTCCAGAGGAGGGATCTCCAGAAGAGATCCTCCCCCTGGTAGACAGCTCTTAAATGTGTCTAGGAGAGGTGAGGCCAAGCTCCATCCCTTCCGGCAGCACAGGTGAATTGCCTTCACCTGTGCTCTGTGGCTGACTCGTTGCTCGCCTCAGGTGATCAATCAGAGGTTCTGGCCTCAGCGGTTCCCATACAACTCACAAGACTTAAGGAAAAAAGACGAGAGACAACGGCATATTGTGAGATCTCACCCAAAAGGCAGGCAGGTTATTCAGAATAGCCCACGAACTGATATATCTCTGGGAGCTCATAAGGTTCTGAAAGTTGAAATGAATCCAGAGAAGACTGGGACACCATTAGTGCAATGAGTGAGGGAAACTAGAAATACTGCTTAGGATCAGCACTGCAAGCCAAACTGAGGCACTCATCTGCCACACTCAGCAGTTCACAACTCTGCATGCCTCAAACCAAGGCCTGCTCTACAACTCATAATAAAGATCTGAGACATTTTTGTCACATCAAGGTTTTGTTACACCAAATGATAAACTTTCTTCATTTTATTTATATTAACATAACATTGTCCATGTTAGAGCTACCCAGGATTTTAGATTAATATAAAATAGAGAGCAGGATTTTCCTGCAAGTCCATTACCACTGCTGTATAACTCAAAGAAGCATCTGATCAAGCAGCAGTTAACAGATGTTCAATTTAATAATTAAAGCCTGAAAGAAACCTGGGACCTGATCAGCTGAGAGGTGATGGCTTTTGCCATGCAGCACTTCCACTGATCAGAGTTTAATGAAGACAGGAGACTTACATGCTCAAACAAAAGTGCATGCAACAAGCTATTTTCACGAAAGCACTCTGTCGTGGGACAGCTCACTTTACTGGAGTGCTGTGATGGATGGACAGAGTGAGATGAGCCCTTCCTGAAAAAATGGCAGAGGAGATGCAGATCATCCCCTGTGGGAAAGAGTAGCTTAGACATGTGGGGCTCAGACCAAAGTAAGAGCTCTCAAGTCAGGCCGGAGGAGGGTCACCAAATGTGGTTGGAATCTGCTACACATCACTTACTAGGTAAGAGAGCAGATGCAGCCATCATTAATGATTTTTGGAAGTCTCTGTCAAGCACCCACATCCTCATCCCAACTTTTAACATGTCCAAACACAGCCCATCCAGGAGATGTCTGAAGGGTGTTATAGGTTATTTCTTGTCATACAGGCAGTAGGTGTGCCAGCCAGAAAGGACACACATGCTGTAGTAACCATGGAATACTAGAGTCAGGTTCCTGAGAGGAGCAAGGGAGAAAACAGAAGATAGAAAAAGGAATAAGAGCTATAAGACAGAAGAAGGTGTGTGGGTTTTTTTTGTGGTATACACCAGCAAGCAACTACGCATGACACAGTCTTTCCCCCAGCACTCTCTCCCCAGCTAGAGAAGAGAACTGGAAAAAAAAAAGACATAAATAGAACTCACAGGCAGAAAGAAAAACTGCTTACTAAGACAGAAGATGAAAACAGAAATAATGGTAATAATATGAATACTAACATGTTTACAAAGTAAGTGACGCATAATGCTCACTACCCGTTTACTGATGCCCACCCAGTCCCCGAGCAGTGGCTCTCCCCAGTCCAACTCCCGTTGGTCTTACAGTCTGGCAGGATGCCAGTTTGGGTCAGTTCTCATGGTTCTATTCTCTTCGGCTCCTAGTGTTCCCCACTGGCAAGACAGTACAAGAAGCTGAAAATGTGAAAAGCCCCTGGCTTTGTGGAGCACTGCTCTGCAGCATCTAAAATGCCCACCTGTTATCAACACTGATTTTTCTTCTAAAACCAAAACATAGTATCATATCAGACTACTACAAAACTACGACAGAATCAACTCTGTCCCAGTTGAAAACAGCATACTGTTTTAGCTACTAATGTACAATGAGGATATTCGGCTGAGTGGACTTCTTTAAAATACTCTCTCTAAGCAAATCCACCTGCTTTCCCAAATATGCACAGCTTACCTGCAGTGTCAATGAGTAGACAAACATGAAGTCCAAAACTACTCCCTTCTTAAGTTGTGGCTTCTGAAGATGGAAATACTCTTCTGCCATCTCAGCTCTTTATTGGATAATGTACTGGAGTTACTCTGGTCTCCTTTTAAGGTCCCCAACATTCCAGATGAGTTAGGAAGTAGCTTACAGCATTCTTAATGTGCTAAGCTTTTTGAGTTAAGTAAAATGCATTACTATTTCATTATTCCTCTTTTTTTTTCAGTTGTGCTGTGGTTTGCTTTGAAGAAGGAGACTATGATTCAGTCACTTAATACAATCAGCAATTTAAACAGAAAGTTCTCTTACATATTGGGGAAATGCTTCAGCATGTTTGCATTCAGTTTCATAAGACACTCAGATCCTGTTGGTAGATTAAAAAAAAATTATAAAGAAAAAAAATTATATTATCGGGGCTATCTATTTCCTTTCATACCCTGAGCAGAGTAGTCAGACCTGAACAACTAAAGGAAACAGATGGACCTGGAAAGTTTAAGCCTTGGAGGAAGAAAATCTCCAGTAAATAAAAATGCTTAGAGTCACAGAGGCAATTGTTCCATAGCTTGTAAAAATAGCCTCCCAGCTCTGCAGCTTCAGCAGAACTCCATATCTAGTGATGTCATACTCTCAAATGCCAATGCCATCTCCTGTTTTCCATGCCTACTACGTTTTTTAAATCAACTTATATACCAAAGTTAATAACTGGAAGACAAGCATGCTTGCAAAGGTCCTTTGTAGCAAATTCTCCCATTCTTCCGAGACTCCTTATCTCTGAGTGGCTCCTCGCCACTGAGACAAACTTTGCTAAAAAATCTACTGAAAAACCACTCTGTTATTCAAGAAGAAGCCTTTCCTGGAAGAAGCCAAAGAAGTTGACAGTTTTCATCTGAAATTGTTATGTCCTCTGCCCTGCCATACTATGAGAGGTGGTGATTGCTCTCCAGCACTACTAGGAGATCAGCTTTTACTTTGATATTGAGACTCTAAAAATCTTCAGCTTTTGTCACAAAACCTCTGCATAGGACAAGTAATACATGCTTCAACTTCCTTTCCCACTTTTCCCCTCGAAGTGATGAAGTTACTCACCCCTTGAGAGCACTGCTTTCAAGAGTTCTCTTCTTCTGCACTGTAAGTCAAACAGCACTTACATTTTTTCCTCATAACAGATGGAATTATTTTGTACTACTGACATTGAGGCCAGCCCAAATGTTTCAGATAACAGAGGAGATACTCCAAACACTCATCACTGTTCTGTAGCAATAAGACTTCTGCAGCAAACGCAGTGCCAGTAGCCAGTGCTACTTCTGCAGAGTACTATACTGCAGCACAGCACAATTCCATCTAACTGAAAGCAATACGTACCTCAGAAGATTCTGGGCCTCAGGAGACATCTTTCCCACAAGCAAGGAATATCAGCTTCTAAAGGTATGTCAGGCCAAAAAAAAAAAAAAAAAAACTGTATGAATGTAATGCATTTTCCACAGTGCCATGCATTTCAAACCGAACCATATTCTTCGGGTTAAGTAGTTAAGCAAAGGCCCATAAATATATCTAATATACTGATCTCCAAGTATCTCAGTATAGGTGGAAGCTGCATTTAAAGCTGAATTGCTCAGAATATTTCTCTAAAGCTACTTTGTGTTGTACAGCTGAAGATCTATCTCCAAGTATGTAATGCCTGGATGAACAGAAGTACTTTCCCCTTCATAGACTTCCTTAAAAAAAAAAAAATAATAATTTTGCCCTTAGTTTACAATGATAGAGCAAACAACGATGGCACTCAACCTCCCATATGAGGCATAACTACCCTGTGCTGCTCTCTACGAGAGCAGGAAGCCTAAAGAAATAAGATTCTCAGAAACACGGCATTGCTGAGGTTGGCAGGACCTTTGGGACCACCTGGTCCTACCCCTGCTCCAGCAGGAACACAGAGCAGGCTGCCCAGTCTTCTGGAGACCTCCGAGAAAACCACAGCCCCTGTGCAGCCTGCACCAGGGCTCCCTCGCCCACAGTAAGCAAGCATCTCTTCTGCTCACACGGACTTTTTATTCTCTTTCCTTTGACTTTTGTCCCAGTCCCACAGTGCCCACAGCGCTGCCACCCTCCCACCCGGCTGGATGCCACCTCCTCCGTTCACGAAGGCGCAGCAGCCCAGCAGGCGCGGCTGTGCTCTCGTCTCCCTGGAAACACACGCTGGGCGCAAGCCAGCACAAAAACGCGTTATCTCGAGGTCCGATCACGCACAAATTCACCAGCCAGGACCTAAATTTCAATCCCTCCGTGCCGGGAGGTAACACGGGAGCGCCCAGCAGCTTCCCCCTTTCCGAGGCGGGAAGCCCACGCGGGGTCCCCAACGGCCGCCCTTCCTCCTTCCCGCCCGCGGCGGCGGCCCTCAACCTGTGACGTCACCGCCACCCGCCGGGGGGCCGGACTCCGCGCGCAGCGGCACCACGCGCCCAACGCACGCGTCGGACGCACAAAAGCCAACGCAGGCGCTCTGCCGCACTCCTGCCCGCCGCTCTTCAGTCCGCTCTTTCTCGCAGGAGTACGCATGCCCCGACAGCATGAGGCGGAGTCGAGGGGGAGAAGGAAGGCGAGGGGAAGAGGGAGGAGCCGGAGCGGGAGCCGGAGCCGAGGCGAGGGAGCGGGCTCCGCCTCCTCTCCTTCTTCCTCCTCCTCCTCCTCCTCGCCGATCCGCGACTCCCGCCTGCCGCTGCTCTCCGCCCTCCCCGTGTGCAGCGTGCGGCTCGCCTCCCGCCGGCGCCGCCGCCACGACGGCCGCGGCAGCCGCGAAAACAAAGGAGGGAAGCGGCGGCGGCTCTACGGCCCGCAGTCCCCGGACCCTCACTATCGCGGCAGCGCCCCGCAGCCCTCTCCGACACCCGACGCGGAGCTTCCGGCCGCCGGCACCAGGTGGGTGGGCGCGGGGAGGGCGGCGGGGCCGGCTCCGAGGGCGTCTCGCCGGGGCCAGGGAGGCTCGGGCCTGCCCGCGGCGGCACAATGGGGGGCGCGGGGCCGGCGGCGTCCGGGCCGTGACTCAGGGCTTTGCGTGCGGCTCGGGCGAGGGCCCGCCCCCGGGGTTGGCCTCCGGGCCCGGCGGCCGCGGGGCTCCTGCGCGCCGGTACCCGCGGGGAGGGGGGCAGAGCGGGCAGGGAGAGCGCGGCGCGCTCCGGGCGCTCGGCAGCGCCGGCCTCTTTGTGTGGCGCCGCGCTGGGCCCGTGCCGTGCTCCTCGGCGGCGCCGCGCCGCCGGGACTTGGCTTGTTCTTTGTGAACGGCCGTCCCCCGGGCGGCGGGGTGCGCAGGCCAGCGGGCCCCGGGTTTCGCCATCGGTTTGAAAGCGATCTCTTTGGGTCGCTGACGTTAAAATTCGAACCGGCGGAGCGCGGTGTCGGGACTCGCAGCGGGACCTCAGAGCTGGGCCGAGCCTCCCCGCCCCGCCGCCCGGCCCTGAGCGACCGCCCGGGGCGACGCACGGGGTGAAACGGCGCTGCTTCCGTGCTGCGAGGGCGCGGGGTGAAGCAGCGGCACGCCTCGGGGCAGGGCTTACCCCTCCGGGAGGCAGAGCGAATTTTACTTTTCCGCCCCGCCAGAGGGAAGCGGTCCGGCCGTTGTAGCCTCCTGCCCCCGAGGACGGGGGCCTTACGGTGAGCTGTGAGGCCCGTTGTGACACCCGCCGTGTCTGGGGCTGAAAATGGCTGTTGGGGATGACGAGCTGGTGATGCTGCGCCTCCCTGATTGAATTTCAGTCTTCTCGCTCTCTCTTCCTTTAGAAAGGAAGCCGCGGTCCTGTTAATCAGATTTCATATCTTCCTCTCGCGGTGGGTGTATGCGCGGCTGCCTCGGCCTTGTGGGCTGTACGGAGCTGTCAGCCCTCGCAGATATAAATAGAAGCTGATTTCAGAGGCCCCTGTTGATGGGGTTTTGTGTCTGAGCCTCCAGCTCAGCCTGTCACATTGCAGCCTTGTGACAGGCGGAAGCTAATGCGCTCACCCATGTGACCTGCGCTTCTGAGAAATATTGAGGAAAGCAGTGCACACGTGATGGCATTTGGAGCTGGCTTTCCAGGGGAGTGGAGCTGTATCTGTAGGAACACTTTAGTTAGCTGCTGACATTCTTAGGTGTTCCAGTAGGGAGGAATTGGAAAAGTCTGTAATTTGTCTGGTTTGAAGATCTTGTTTTTTCTGTTGCTGGTTCAGAACTTGATAGAGCGAAACTTAGCGTACTGGATAGTGGATTCTGCCTGGTAAGTGTTTTATAACTGTTTGCCTAAGTGTGTGATAAATGAAAAGAAATGGTTAGACCTGGACCTTCTTCAGAAGCCTGAAAAACACTGTTTTTTCTATTAGGGGTGTGTATTTCAAATAATGGAAGAAGCTGCTGACCAAGCAGCTGTCAAGGCTTGTTGTTTGTAGTATTTTAAAAACGGTGTTAGCACCTAAAGCTGGATACTTTAGGTGGTAAAATATGATTCACAAGACGAATCCAATTCACAGCTTGACTCTAATCTGAACTGGAGCATGTCAGTTGAGATTGATGGTGGCAGCATATTTGGTAGTGTTTTGAGCTTACCTACTTAACAACAGGGCAGAAATGGGCTCTTTATTTGTTTTTCTCTAAGCGTAAACCTAGAATGTAGATGAGAGGTTTTAGATTTGCATATTTTAGTCACAATTTGCACTGACTTCCGTGTCTGACATGTAGGGCTGTAGAAATGCAGTGTTGTTGAGTGTTTTATCAAAGTGTGAAGTTACGTTCTCCTGAAATGACTACCTGTACCAACGAAGCTATATTTTTAGCTGGGGAAAAAAATCAGGTTCCATAATCACCTGTAGGAAAAAAAAAAAATATCTCCTGTTTTTGAATTACTTTTCTTTTAGAAACTTAGTTTAATTAGGCAAAGGCTGCTGTCAGCTGCAGTTAGCAAGCTATTGAATTTACTGAGTTTACTAATTGCCGTTTAGCATTTATTAATTGTAAAAAGTGTTTTTCTGTGCAGCATTATGCTCCCAGCGTTCTTGAGTTCTCACAAGCTTCAGCTGTGAAGTATCTCTTATTTGACTTTTCCTGAGTAGGAAGGCTGTCATCTAGAGAAGGCATGAAAATGTCTCCACATGCTAAGTATAGTGCTTCTAAATCCTGTGAAGACAAGTGCAATATTCTTACATGTCCTCAATTTGTATTAGGTTGCTTGATTTCAGTGCTCAAGTTTTGTTGCCCCTGCAAATCAAGGGTTTTGTTTCTGTACCAGTTTTTCTGCTCACCTTGCTTTGCTGAGGCTTACCAACAGGGGAAGTATTGTTATTCATAACTACTGCAGTTTGCGTTATGGAGTTAGGTATTGTCTATTAGAGGGTTCAGAAGTCTTGCTATAACTTCATTAATACAAAGAACTTAAATGGCTCTTATGAAAAGTGTCAGCAGCATGATGTGTACTTGGGAAAGCAAAGTCAGGTCTAATCTTATTACAGCAGTACTGTTTAGATTCTGTTGCAGGGGCTGTTGTGCACTTGTTGTTGCCAGTTAATACTCAGTATCAACTTTCATACACAGCCGGAGCAGTATTTGACGCCTTGTTTTGGAAACAACTTCTAAAGATACAAATACATGTTTTAAATGGCTGTTGCCTATACTTCAGGGATCTTTATTGTTCTTTTCAACAAATGGACTGTGGAAGTCAATCCTGGTAGTAATAGAATAAACGTCAAAATGTTGCAAGATCAACATTATTGGAAAAAGTGGGATGGTTCTGAATGGGATTTGGCAAAATAAGCTGTTAGTTACCAAAATGGTACAGCAAACATACGTAATGATGTTACTTAGCAATACAACTGCAGTATTGAATGGCTCATTAATGTCCATGAATCTCTTTTTAAGAATGCTGATATCATTTTATGGGAGCGGGGTGAGCAGATGTGCTTTAATTCTGTAACCCTGTAATTGATTTTGGTGACATGTCTGCTCCTAATGCAGTTCTTGCTTTTATTTACAGCATCGAGATGACTCAGGAGACAAACCAGACCCCAGGGCCTATGCTGTGTAGTACAGGATGTGGATTTTATGGAAATCCTAGGACAAATGGTATGTGTTCTGTTTGCTACAAAGAACATCTTCAACGACAGCAGAACAGTGGCAGAATCAGTCCAATGGGTAAGAGTTTACAATATTTCTGTTTTCTTCATTTTTGTTTTATTTTATTTTGAATTAAAACATACAAGTGACGAAGAGGAATCCCATAACAGGTTTTGGGAGAACTTCTGAATGCTGTATACTGAAATAATGAATTTCAAAGAGTATACTTCTTCAAAACCCAGTAAAAATAGGAATGTGTTTCTGTGTAGTATGTTGTGATCCACCCTTAATTTTCTTCTCCACTTATTTCTAGTGTCAGTATATTCTTACATGATCACTTACATGGTATTTCAGTTGTTAGTAATATAGTCTGTCTTTTAAGTAAGAAGTAGTGTGCAGTATAATGAATAATGTATGCAAGTTCATAACTATATGCAAGAATATTTGACTAATGTATTCTACAACTTGTTTATAATGACTTCTTAAATTCTTGTTTTGTAGGACCAGCCAGTGGTTCAAATAGTCCTACCTCAGACTCTACATCTGTTCAGAGAGCAGATACTACTAGCTTAAACAACTGTGATGGTGTTGCTGGCAGCACATCTGAAAAATCAAGGTAAGATTAAAGTATTATTTTGAGTTTCAGATGAGTTGTGAGTAAGTAGCAAGTTAATGATTGGCAGTAACTTTGACCCACGTCACTGAATTTCTTAGGTGCAGAAGGCATACCTGACAGTGCTTTTCTTTATAAATCTTTGTAAATGTCTAGTGGTTAAAATGTTTGGTGTTGTACTTCTGCATTTGCAGTTTATCTGGAGAAGTGTTTGCTCCATATTTGACTATTTTCTTCTTTGGGGAACTAAAATAGAATTAAAATGTATTTTGAAGATAGTAGAAGCAGGAATAAGGAACGTGCATTAGGACTAATTAAACAAGTAGTCTATTGATGGATTTGGACATTTTAAGCTTTTATTGTGTACTTATAACTGATGTAAAATTACATGTTTCACTGTACATGAACAGAAATGTGCCTGTTGCCGCTTTGCCTGTAACGCAGCAAATGACAGAAATGAGCATTTCAAGAGAGGAAAAAGTAACACCGAAAACAGAGGCTGAGCCAGGTATGTTTGCAGAGTAACGCTGGGTGTGCTGGTGACTTAACAGAAGTTGACAAAGGAGACATCTCCCATTATGATGGTGGTCTTCAGGAATT